ATCAAGAAGAAGGCGCTAAATATCTTGGCTATTCTTGTCATTCCCTTGACAATTGTCACCATCTTCTTCTCCTTCTGGAACATCTGGCTGGTGGAGGAGGAGCCTAATGGGGCCTGTCTGCCAAACTTTGACTGTTTCCCGCTTCAAGATGGCAAGACACTCCAGGACATGCCTGTTGAAAGCTGTTCTGAGCTGTTCAACATCTCGACTCTTGAAGATAATCTTCAGTACACATCAGCTGCCAATGACACTGATACTTCAAAGATTGCATCCGATGCGATACGCTACAAGTGCTATCGTTTTGTGTTCCGCTATGCTGAGGGGATCGGGGCGGCCGGAGGCATCCTCTTCTTTACCGCTGTTTTCTCCAAGATCTACTTTTGCCTTCTTGTGGCTATCGCAACTGAAAAACGCTGCAAATTTTTATGTCTTGGAGTTCTACTCTTTGTCTGGATTTTGGCGGCCGTAGTATTGGTGCTTTTCATCGTTGTGAATGCAGCTGTTCCAATAATCAGAGAGGCAGTGTTCCAGACCCATACTGACACCATTCAGTTCACTCTCTACGCTGCCAACTTTGCCGCCGTTGTTGTGGGTGGATATGTCGTCAGCATCGGAGTTATACTACCTATAATGCACAATCAAAATTGACTTCTTTGCTGCCAGTTGTAGATGTCTTGCTAGGTTTTGCTGCTTGAACCTATTTTGTAGAGAAATACGTACGTAGCTAAAGTGTGTGCAATTGTAATACAACAGTATATTTGAGTTGCGTACATAAATGGGCAACACCTTAGTGCGAGTCACCCACACCCACCTCTGCGATAATTATTGGCTCGGTCTGCTGTATGTGTGTATAGGTGTCAGTATGTAAGTCCACTACGCATTGCTGCAGATGGGGCGTGACTTCAGCTGCCGTGGTGCTATACATATGGAGGGAGCGTGACTTCCTGCTATACTTACTATACAGTGGAACCTCCAAATAATGGACACATACACATCGGAACCAGTCAGTGTGTCCTTTATAGAGAGGTTGTCCTCTCTTTGGAGGTTAACAATGTGTACTTTTGTAGTACATGCACTCGGGCAATCGCAGTCGGTTGTGCATCGTAGGAGTCTTAGCCATCCCGCAACAGCCGCGGTAACATCCTATCGGTTTATGCAGATGGATGTCTTGCTCCATAGATGAAAAACCTTAATCATGTGTTCCTTTCTTTGGAAGTGCACAGTTTATATTACCACTCCATTCTGATTAAAGACTGTCAGTGAAATTCTCCGTAACTTGCCATTCTAAGCAAGAAGTTTTTATTCATTAGGTGTGTATGTATAAAGCATAAAGCTTTATTCATAACCGTGCTGTGGGTGGTGTGGGTCATTCCCAGGTAAAGTCACGTACAGAGGCTATAATGAGGCCTTTTCTGAGAACCTTACAGCATGTGTATGTAAGCAGGTGCACTTCTCTTTCCTTCGTTGAGAAGGCAATTCTCAGTGCTGGTCAACTAGCATCAAGCAAGAGTTTCTTATTCATTAGGTGTGTGTGCAAGATTCATAAGGTACGTATGGTGTGGGTCAGTCCCAGGTAAAGTCACATACTGGGGCTATATAACGAGACCTTTTCTCAGAACCTCGCAGAAAGTGTGTATACGCATTGGTACTCCTCTGTTTCTTTCTTCTTTGAGAAGGCAACTCTTGCTGTTGGTCAGCATGGCGTCGTACGACACCTACCTTGTCTGGAACATTGTAGTTCCTGCACTTTTTGCTGGCGTCGTGTGGCTACTGAGTTTTGCTGTGGTTCTTGCTTACTGCTTCAAAAAGGATAAGCTACCACGCATTTTCATGGAGATGTTGCAGCTCAGTCTTTCCAACATTGAAGAGGATAGTAACTGTGCTTGTGTGTTGGTGTTCGGCAGCAAGATCAGGGCAGGTGCTCTCAAACTCTTGACTCTTCTTGTCGTCCCTTTAACTCTTGCCACCATTTTCTTCTCCTTCTGGAACGTCTGGCTGGTGGAGGAGGAGGCCAGGGGACCCTGTCTGCCTCACTTTGACTGTTTCCAAATCGTTGATACCAAACTAAATGACACACCGGTTGATAGCTGCCCGCAGTCCAGCCAAACCGTGAATGGAATGGAGACAACAGCTAAGTACATATGCTATCGTTTTGCGTTTAACTATGCAGAGGGAATTGGAGCTGCTGGAGGGATCCTCTTATTCACTGCAATCTTCTCCAAGATCTACTTTGCTCTGCTCGTGGCTACCTTCGGGAAAGGGGGTCTATGTTGTGGAACAATTGGATTTGTTTTAATGATTGCTGCAGCAATTGGATTGATCCTGTTCACTGTATTGAATGCAGTATACCATAACACTGTGTTTCAGACAGATACCGACATCGTACAGTTTACTCTATACGCTTTGAATTTCGGTGCCGTCGTTTTTGGTGGGGTTTTGATCAGCTGGGGGGTTGTGTATGCTTGAAAATGGTGACTGTGGTGGCTTTACTGGACTGCTCTATGTAGCACATTACTTATAAATGACTGTTTTAGTAAATTTGTTTTTGTATACTATGCCCATGGTTATACCCTTGGTGAAATTGTCATTTTCTTGTGAGAGGAAAAGAGGTTGATGGCAGTGAACTGAAGAACACCTCCCGTAGCGCTGATCCCTTCCGCGTAGAGAAACACAAACCACTTGCATAAGTATCGAACGTAACTAAATTTTATGCTGCCTCCGATTTCAAGAGCGGTTTCGTGTTGATCTCTGCCAGGAAGGAGGATTGGTCCTTTGAGCAGTATGAGCTCTGATGCTGTGAAAGGCTGGAGCAGTTCTGGACTTGTGTTCTGTGAATGAGTCTCCCGTTGTGCCGAGGGTAACAGTCAAAGTTGGGCGAGCAGGCTCCTCCTGCCTATTTGGCCACCAGGAGCACGTTCCAGGACCATAAGGTGGCAAACGAGGGCCGGCACATAAAACCACAGGATAATGATGGCCGTGTTATTGAGTGCCCTAATCCCCACAATGGCCTTACGTCCTTGTCGGTAAAGTTGTGCTACAGCAGTTCGATGAAAAATTGTGTGTCTTTTTCTGATGTCTCAACGGCTAAACTTATCATCAAAACTACCTCCAGGCACCCACATTACATTCTGTGTCTAGGTGTGTAGTTGTCATAGACCCACTGATGTCTCCCACAATTCGCATGCGTCAGTGATCCTACCAAAAATGCTCATGCCTCCAATTTGCTATACTGGCATCATAACCAGTATTTGTTATTGACTCGCCTCACCTCGTGACCTAGCTGTGGGTATTATCTGGGATATATATATATTTTTTCAAGTCACGCATCGCTGCCCATTTTCAAGTCACGGCATTGTTACTGGTGGGTTGCTATGACAGTTTGTTTATGAAACAGCACCCACATTTTGTTTTCATTTTCAGTACAGAGTCAATAGTACGGCTACTGCCACTGGTATACCGCAGCATGTGCAAATATGGGTGTAGTTTACGAGACATTTGTACACAAAGACTCCCACATACCACCAGCTATTTCCTCCTGCTGCGTGTTATTATTATTGTAACTCAGAGTTGCACGGAACTGTTTGTCGCGGCGGCTTTCTGTCTTGTTGTATACATGTAGCAGTAAGCAGTTGAGTATATGCAAGTGCTGAGTGGCCAGGGAAGATGCTTTCCTACACAGTCTACCATGCCTTGGATGTCTGGGTTCCTTCCGTGTCCGTTTCTCTCATATTCACGTCTCTATTCCTGTTCATCGGATTCAAGGTCGGCTGGAAACTCCACAAACGCAAACAGAGACTCGTAAACAGGTGGTTTTTTGAGATTCTCAGAATAGCCTTCCGTGACCTGCGGAGGGACGAGGAGGGGAGGAACAGTATCTACGGACAGGAGATTGGGCGGGTGTCGTTTGCCGTACTGGTGGTCCTTACTGTCCCTGTCATCATCAGCGCCTGCTTCATCACCTTCTGGAACATCTACATGGTGGAGGAGCAGATCGAGACAGAGTGTAACCCGAACTACGACTGTTTCCGGGTGCGACACGGCGAGGTCTTGGACACGCAGCCTGTTGGTAACTGCAGCAGTTGGCCCGGGCACACAGAGTACAAGTGCTTTCACCTCGCGTACAGTTACGTACGAGGAGTGAGTGCCACGGGCGGGCTCATGTTTTTCGCCTCCGTCATGTTCAAGATGTACATAGTCACCCTCCTGGCCCCTCGCAGACTGGAGAGCGTCTGTTGCAAGTGGATATGCTACCTGACTGTGCTAGCCGGGGGGATAAGCATTGCTCTTCTGTTTGTTGTGATCCACTCTGCCTTTCTGCCAGTCTTTCACAACGACACTTACAAGATCCAGTTCTTTTTCTACTCTTTCCTTCTCTTTGTCGTCTTCTTTGTGACGGGCCCTCTACTGATCTATGGAATCGAGTGTGAACCTTCTCACATTTCCCTGCAGAATGAAGGCGTAGATCCCTTCAGTTTGCCAGTGTAGGCAAAGAGTCTCTTAGAAAACTGCTTATGACTTTGCTGCTGTCTGTATGTGTGTCTGTATGTGTGTGTGTGACTCTGTCTGTGCAATTCATGGTCGTTCACCCCTTAATCTATATACTGATATTATTACTGATATGGCTAACAACACTTGCAGTAGGCAACATAGAGGAACTTCCTCAAAATAAATGCTTACACAAGTGTTATTGCGCAGAAATAACATTATTTGTTGCATGTCATCTGTGCCATAGCACATTTGTTCGATGTTTGCTTTTCTCTTGTGTTGTATTGTGTTCCAGACTAGAGTCTCTGCCTCCTGAGTTGCCAATGGGTAAAGCACTCTGATAAACTGCACGGTATCGTGGGTTCGAATCCCACCCAGGGCAGCTCCTTTTTCAAGAGGTGTAGGTGTAGTTGTGTTGTTTGCCCTGTTGTCTCTGTCTTGAACGTCAACCTCAATTTTTGACACTTAAAGAGAGATGGTGTGTGAATTAGTTCCACGTGTTCCTCAATGTACAGGGGAAGCTGGTGTTGACCAATGGAGTGACAATAGACGGTTCGTTTGGTGGCAAGTGGCTGAAGAGAATCGAGATCCACAAGGGAGTCCTGGAAGATCTCACACTGCAGCAGGAGGGCGAGTTGCTGGGATCAAACACAAAGGAGCTCCAGTACGTGGGTCTTTCAGTCAACATTTTCAGTTTTCTGCACCCTCCTATGGAGAAGCTCCAAAACACTGAAAACGTTGTGCTGGTGATAGGATTCTTTGGTGTAACTTCAATGAATGTGTTTGTGTAATCCATGCATGGTTCACAGTAGGCCTGTTTCATTTTCCATTGACACTCACGTCACCTGACTTTGTGCATACAGGTTGCGTTGTGCAGCGAGTATGTGTATATACTCCTTAGCTGAATGTTTGTCAAGATTAACAGAGGGTGCAGTAGTATTATTATGCACGGCATATGTATGTGTGTTAAGGCAGTAACGGATGTGCAATGTGCTGCAGGATAGCCAAGTTGGACCGACGGATCGGTACCTGCACAGTCCTGGCATCCAACAAGTGGCAGCCAGTCTTCGCCGAGTGCGAGAATTCCCTTGGGTTCTCCGGCAATGCTGCCAACGACAGCTACGCAGCCTGGAGCCGACTCGCCTCCAACTCGGCCAAGAAGAGCAAGCGGTTCACGCGCGAGGCACAGCGGCGATCAAACTCGCTCGACTCGAACATGCGGCGCACAGTGCGCGTCCCCGTGGAGCTCATCCCACTGGAGAGAGCTCGAACCATGACGACATCCGATATGAACACAGCGCTAGGGATGTCCGTGGTGCGATCGACGGTCGCCCTGAGCAAACACCTCTCACTGAGTAACAGTGCCCTCCACGAGAACCCGCCGTCTCCACCTCTCTCTCTCCACCACCACAACATGTCCTCTAGTCTCGAACTCTTGGATATCAGTCGCCCCCTTCACCTCGAGAAGTCCCTCTCCTGTAGCCCTCAGCGTGTCCAGCACCACTTGGCGGTCCCCCCGCCGCGCGATATGTCCCCGTATGCCCCCCACGCCGACGCCAGTCCCTGCTCGTCGACCTCGTCAGAGAAGGAGCGTCCCCACTCGGCACCCGAGGACGAGGTGAGCATGCAGGTGGAAGAAGTGCAGCAGTCTACAGACGTGAAACAAGAGATCCAGAAATACTTGGATCAGGTATGATGACGTAAACACTATCTGGCACATCCATTAGGCCTCCATTGGTGTTTTCTCGTGTGTTTTTCACGAGTACTTTATGACTAGTGTTCGGTACAGTGAGTGCTTGGTGTATCCAATTGTTGTAGGCCTTGTGGTAAAAATAATTAATAGCCACTGCAGTATAACCTCTCTATGGCGACCACCTCTGGACCATAAATAGGTGGTCCTATTAGGGTGGTGGTCTCTTTACTCTATGGTATACGTACAAGAATTATTGGCACTAGTGGTCTCTATAGAGGTGGTCTTCTTATTGGGTGATCATTCTAGACAGGTTTCACTCTACATACTACCAGTTTTATGAACTTGCAACGTCTGTGTTCTGTTATACAGGCATTCAATACAGATAAGCACCCGCTGGGAACACTCATGCAAAGATTGGAGATTGTCTACAAGGCTTCGTACGGCGGCATCGGGGCCAACAAGTACCTATTACCACATGCAATTGCAGAGACTCACTCACTGATACAAAGAATACACGGCATAGTCAGGTGTGTGGAATTCCTAGTAACACTACGTACGGAATACAGTGTAATTCCTAGTAAGTGTGCATGTGTGTAAACTCACACTCTGCATTTATATACCCATGTCTTTGTGTGTTAGCAGATATAACCAGTTTACTATTTCCTTCGCTTAGCAAGATTAGTTTCTTGCTCCATTACTTGTGTCAAGCCTCACACTCTACATGGTATGTTAGCAGATAGAACCAGCTTACCATTTCCCTCCTTTAAGAGTGGAGCATGCTTTAATACTCCATTACTTAGGGCCTAAGGGTTACTGCTGTTTTGAATGATGTGTACATAGGATTCTGTTCCCAATGTTGTCTGGTGGAGACCAGAACGTGTCGAGTGCTGGGTTCACAAAGGTGGAGGGATTCACTGATCCAGATGACTATGTTGATATTGAGTCAGGTATGGCTGGGCATGGTCAGCACTTCTGTGTGTGTGTGCCCATGTCTGTTTTTAGTCACTGGTTGTTTGGTGTTTCCAGTGTAAGGAAAATGCAGGCTAAGCCACAGTCAGTTGTTGTCGTGATGTGTGGACAAAGTTTCCATTTCAAGGCTTAAAACACAAGAGGAAACTTTGTTGCTGGCAGCAATAGAGCCTGGAATATGTTAAAAGAGTTCTCGGAAATATTTCCAGAAAGACTTTCCCTCTACCTATATACCTGTGCATTAGATGTGTTGTTGAAAACATGCCATCAACCAACGATTTTAAAGTTGTCGCTCTCTAGTATGTCTTCCAAGTGTAGATTTGTGAACTTGGTCGACTGTGTGTTAATCTCGTCCACAGGCTATGACCTGCTCCACCCACTGGTGTTCACCAGACTGTTCCCCACTCTCATCACTCTCTATGTCCTCCACCACGAGGACACCGACACCTGCTACCAGAGAGGACTAGACTTCCTCCGGTCCATGGACGAAGACAGAGTCGCTGCCTTCATCAGATTCCCAGAGTCAGTGATGATTCTTAACATGCTGCATTAGCATTAGTGTTTAATGTTACAGTGTAGCCTCCAAAAAGAGATACTCTAAGATAGGGACGACATCTCTACAAAGGGCACTTGTTTTATTTTACCCCCGAGATATAGAGGGACGACCTCTCTACACAATCGTTGGCCCCATAGTGGTCCCTTTTTCAGAGGTTCCACTGTAGTTTTGGTAGGTAGTGTGATCTGCTAGCTATTATTAGCTAATGTTCTTCTGGGTGGCCCTAGTGCTATGGCAGCCACCTGAGTATTATTGTCATTTGTCTATTGCTCTTCTATTCTTTTTGTAGGCATCTGTGTAAGAGAGTCACTGGAATGGACACAGACAGAGAGATTCTGAAGGTAAACATACAGAGTTTTAGCTCCTTTTCTTTGCTCTTCTCAGTGGTGTATAATATTATAACTGGCGTGCAAAGGGAGCCTACCAAGTCATCTCAGTTGTGTGGTTTTCATAATGATCAAGTTACCGACCCTGCACTATGACAATGACAATGACAATGTGCATGCACGAACATCCTGTACAGTGTACATTTGTTCTAGTGCTTCCCTTTATTCTCGTGTCAACTCCACAGGCAGTAGAAGGTGCATCCAACAGTCTCAGAGTTATCAGGTATGGTATACAGTTAGTGAATGGTTGAGATGGTAGCGTTACCCCCATCTGCCACCTGTATCTTTGCAGCTCATTGTTCACACCAGGAGAGTTCCTGACCAGCTTTAGAAATGCTTTCACACAACTCAGCACTGTGAGGAGCTAGCTAACTATCATGCACTTCTACTGTAGAACCTATGATAAAGGACGCTCCGAATAAAGTACGCAATAGAGAAGACCTCTTATTGCAGGGCACACTTTAGGGTCCCAATCGTTCACTTTATAGAACGTGGATATAAGACAGAACACCTGGTCCCAATGTGTCCTTTATTCGGAGCTTACGTAATTGGTCAATAATGTTGCTACTGTTCAATCTCCCACTTTCAGATAGAGCAACTTACAGGAGATTTCCTTCTACCAGCAATTGTTCTTGTCCTTGTCAAAGCAAAGTATGTGTACTGTTTAGTTTCACTGGGTAGCTGTGTTGTATTGTGTGCCATCTTCCTGATTTGCAGCGTACCTCATTTGGGAGCCTATCTCCACTTCCTGACTGATTTCGCACACACAGAGCCGGCAGACGAATATACACTAGTAACTTATGAGGTAATGATTACATCATATCCAGCGAATTATTGCTAGGCTCCAAACCACGAATGTCTGGGCATGGTCAGCAGCACATGCCAGTGGCAAAGCCTTGTGGGGATGAATCTCATTAGTTCAGAACCTTTGCTGCCTTTATGAACTGGTGATGCCAGAGAGATGCTCTGCTGATGAGGGCCAACAAGCCCGAAACAGTTGTCCAGAGCTCCTCATCTTTTTCTCTTGGCATCACATGGCCTATTACCTTCATGTTGATGTTGTGCACTATCCATTTTGCAGGCTGCCTATAACTTCATCAGGCAAAATGCTCCAGGTTCATTTTGAAAGACACAGTCACAATAACTGTCATTTTTTCTATCACAGTCACTCCTTGACTATAAATTTACCATAATCACCGTTATGAATCAATATTTCGTGTATAAATGCATTATTTCTATCATTGGATACCGTGAAACAGGACTTATCTGGGGAGTGTCTGATTGGCATTCCCATCTATGTATATACATGCAACCTTGCAGCCCTTGGTATTATAATCATAAGTGGGCAGCATGTTTGGTCCTAGAGACATGACGCTGGCTTGGATAGAGCTTTGAAAGCGAGGAATCTCGGAGCATGTTCCTGAAGCAAACCATACCCTTACCAGAGTGTTTAATACAATAGTCCTGAACCATCCTTTTATAGTTTGGGTCCCACTAGATTACACATCCAGTAACAGACGTAATGCAGCATGTATATAACCAGAGTGACTTTAGCAAGACTGTGGCTCTACCTGAGACCTGAGTTTAAATCCTACCTCGGTCATTCTTGCTGTTTTCACTGGACGAACGTAATTGATTTCCAGACACAAAAGGCAGGTGGAAAGGCACCAAAAGACCGTATTTCCTTATGTATAAAAACTAAATAGTATATAAATAATATGGTCTTAATGTATTTCCTAAAAATAAATGGCTGCATAAATTATTTCCTGGCATTTTGTCCAGCTCCCTTCCTTAATCCTGCGCTTAACTCTCATGATTTCCTTGCATATTGTAATCTTAAAGAACACAAAAAGCAAATTAAAATGATGAAAAAGTGATACAAAAATGCGAACGTTTGTTTTCTGGAATTGAGGTTGTATGGGAACTATCAAACATCGGTCCCTCTGAAGCAGGAGTTTTCACACCAAAGCTTCTGGAAATGGACATAACACATAGACACCACATACAGTACCATGTTTGCACAGACACAACACAACCCTTCTTTAAAAATGTACATGAGTTCCCTCCTACCCACTATGGAACCCGCCCAAAAGATATTTGAAGGGCAAATTTGGCGCCATACTGAACGCTCACTACACAAAACCCAACGACAGACTGA